ATATAAATTCAAAGTAAACATCATTACATAAAAGGGTACGGTCTTTTTTTTTTAGTTTTATTCATTTCAAATGGACCGGATCCAGCCCACAGGCCGTAGTTTGCCCACGGCTGTCCTAGACCATTCAGTGCCACTCAAGCAACCCTATCTCCTGTAGAGCATACCCATGTCCAAGGGCTCCCAGTTAAGGGGGCAAGTGGGAGCTGAAATACAGTCACCAAGCCATGAGTCCTGGCTCAGGGATATAGCCTGGAGAAAAGGGACCTCAGACCTATTTATATTTTATCCACCTAGAGGGGACACCTTATGTGCTAGCAGTGGTCAAGATGAGAGCTTAGCTAAGGTATCCCACATCCCTAAAAGCATAAGAAAGGGGAATAAGAAGCTTCCAGATAAGGTGTCTAAGTGCTCTCTCTGGGGTGATGGTCTCAGCCTCATATCCCATTGCTGTCCCACCTGATGGGCTCAGGAAGGCAGGAAAAGTGGGAGGGGGTTACCACTTCCTTCCCTCTGGGAAACTGTGTTGTCTCACCTCTTCTTCCTCCCTGGAATCCATCAGAATACCAGAGGAAGACAAATAAATAAAGGAATGATGACAATGTCCCATTCATTCCTTCACTCCACACCTATGTCATACTGGTGCTGGGCTAGACAAAGTCATCAGGGGTCTGCCTTTGGCAAACACTGTGAAGTCCACTTCTCTTGCCCAGAAGGAAGCAGCTTTGTTAACTTTCCCAGGCTCCTCTTCCTCCACTTCATCCTCTTCCTCTTCTTCTCAAAGATATAATAAGGCTCCCACCTGAACCTGACCCAGTTAGGTGTGACTTCTGCATTTGGGTTGTGTATGTGTATGCCTGGGTGGGAGGGGGGCTTGAAACTCTACTTCACTTCAGACACAAAGGGGAATCTGACTCTGTCTAGTGGGAGACTTTACAGAGAGTCCTGGTTCCCTCAACCTTGAATCCCCTAGCTTATATATCCCACTGATTGCTTCCCCTCACAATACAACAGCCCCAGACTTAAAGCCTGTAGTGTCTCCTTCTGTCTAAATGTTAGAAGGTCCAGTGTTCTTCTAGCCCTCCTACATTCATCTACTGTTTGGCCAAATAAGAAACTCATCTTTTCTCATATGCCTCAGTCTGCATTTTCATAAAGCGTATGAGGAGTTTGTCAAGATGCTAGGCATCAGGTGTAAACAAATGCAAATTAGCTCAAAATATGGATATATTGTGAATCAGCCACATCTGACAATCCCCAGAGGTTAGTCCTTGCTCTGCTCCTTACTTCTAGCCCTGGGTGCCTACAGAGATGGCATCTTGAAACATTTCTGTATACTGAAATGGATGTTGGTTGGCCTTTACTGACAAACAAGAGAATGAGGAAAAGAGAAAACATAATAGCTACTCCCTTGACACCCACCCACTGGTGCTTGGTGCAACTGATCAAAAACCAGTGTTATGAAATGGGATGCTGGCTGTGCCCTGACACCTGAATTTCTATATTGAAAAGAGCTTGCTTTCTGCCCTCTCCACTCCTGCTTCCCAGTCCCAGTGCACACTCACCTTGAATCCTGGGGCTGCACATTCTGCCCTCATGGAAGGAGCATACAGCAAAGGAGACATGAGTGAAGTGTCCCACCTCCAAGCTTAGCCCAGGGTGACCACCTTGGTTTTCAATGTGCCTCCCCAGGTAAATCACAGCCTTCCACCCCTCTCTCTGAAAAGGTCTATGACAAAGGAAATTCCCCACAGTTGTAAGCCCTTTAGGGTGGAGGCTTTGCATATTCAGACGACCTTTCTCTATTCATATGTACAAATGTTAACCATTAGCATTCATTAACACTTTAGAATAGGGGGTCTACTACCACCTGCAGGAAGTGGAATGCTTTCTCTGACTTAGCCATGCACTCTTTTTTTTTTTTGCTTCTTTTCTGTTCCTTTGAGCAGAAATGTGACTAATCTCTATTTAATGCACAGTTCCTTTTGTTTGTCCTTGGTCTAGGTTTTCTGGGTGTCCCTTAGGCTAGAGGATGCTACTCCTGTTCTGAGGGTTCCCTGTCCCTTATTAATTCTGACCCAGGCCATTTGCCTTTTCCAACTGTGTGGGGGGGGGCGGGGGGGTATGTAGAGATATAAGGAGAAACTGATGTATTGGCTTCCTGGAGGTTCAAGCATCAGTTTATTTGTCATTTCTCATCTCTGTGCTTGAGGTCTGAGTGATAAAGTACAGAGTTTGGATTTTATTTGTCAGTTAAATAAAACCATCAAAAGTTCCTGAGGTGATCAGGCTGAATTTATAAAGATCATGCTGCCTGGAGTGTGTTGAATAAAATGAGCTTGGTGGGAACTAAAGGTTTAGGGAGTAGACAGAGGACCGGTGAGTAGGTGATGTAGACAACACAGAGGAGACCATGCCTTTAATTTTGAACTAACTGAATAGGGTGAGTGTCCAGGGTGCCCAGGATGTATATTCAAGTAGAAGAACATGTTACTCTCCACAGATGGGACAGAAAATTCTAGCCTGAGAAGCATGACACTTGTTTTGTTTGGCATACCCATTTCTGGGGTTAGCACTATCCCAGCCACACCAGGAAGTGCTCTTCAGGCTTTCTCTGTGTAATTGTAAAAGAGTATGGAGGTAAAGAAGAGGGCTTCTTGCAGAGAAGTGCGGAAAATTCCAGGGGTAGAGCAAAAGGCCTGAAGGTTGGAGGCCGGGTGGTGTTCACTGCAGATCTCTGAAGGGGAGAGGCAGAAGTACTGAGTCAGGGGAGTGCCACTGATCAGCTTATTGAGTAGTGGTAGCTTGTTGTATCTCAGCTCTGTTCCACCTAACATGACTCTAGTGTCTGGACGTATCTTACCTCCAAAATGTGGTCTCAGACGGGCATCATATCCTGACAGCACCCTGTCCAAAATCTTGTGAACCACAGCTTCATTTGCACAATTTTTGCTAAAACAGAGAAGTCATCAGTAAATGACACATTGCTTCTCAGAGAACAAACACCAAAGAGCACGCCAGGTGTCAGCTTGCCAGGGCCTTCCCTTCTCCTAAACACACACAGACATGTACAGTCATACATGTATGCATCTCTCCCTGCTCCCCTCCCTCTCTACAGTGAGTCAGCCAGAAGTGCAGCAGTGACGCACTTTCCTCCTCCCCATCCAAAGCTTTTATCCAGAGGATGAGGCACACAGATTGGATCCTGGTTACTAGGGAGGTTTAGGGGTGGAAAGGGGGAAGGCTACAGGGGATGTGGAGAGGGGATGGAGGGGACAGGTGGGAACCCTCAGATAAATGCATTGCTTCAATCCCCTAAGAAACCTCACCTTATCATCAGCCTGAATACAGCTTTTTGGGTTGGTGGGAATCTTTACAGGGACACCTAATTGCCTCAGGAAAGTCATTTTCTACCCTTAGTGCCCTCCTGAGCTGAGCCAACCAGTTTACATTTTCCAGCGCAGTCACATTGTCTCTACCTGGGCTAGGGCTGGGCATTTTGTTGTCACGTCTATGTGAACCTTTTTGTACACCTGTTTTAAACACTTGGCATATGGCATATGACACAGAGAGAGCCTGGCTTATGTAGCAAAGATTTATGACCCTCACCCAATCAAAACATTTCAGATTCTTGAGGTTCAAGGCTGTCCTAAAACAACTTGTATTCTGGGAGCAGGCATCTCTCTGGCTAAGTATGTGCTTCCAGCCTAGATGTGTCTCGGGTGAGTAGATATAAGTAGACCCAGCTCAGCCCCACAGAGCCGATCTTTCCAGAAATCTCTGATGTGCTCACCCAATTCATCTAGATCTTCAGTGGGTCTCTTTCCCCCAAAAGGGGCTTGTGAATTAGGACAGGCCCTGGCTATCACTATGGCTTTTAGAATCTTTGACGCAATGACCAGGGAATGTCGACCCCTGTGCATTTCAGTGTGTGTGTGTGTGTGTGTGTGTTGGACTGAGGTTGAGACCATTTCAGAGTTGTCTGCTGGAAGCTTGTTCAACTACCCACCCACCCCTTTTTTGATGACATGCTCATTTCTGGTTTGCCATTAAAATTATTTCCAATCATCTTTAATGACAAAATTTCATTATACATCATTCCAAAGTGTGCACATAAATTACTCCTAAATTACAGTAATGCATTCCCACCTGTTTAGGACTGCATATTACCCATATGCCAGCACTCAGGTTCCCTGGCCAATGCAAATACACATTTCTGTGTGATCTACACATAAAGATTGACTGTTTAACATCTCTTCGGATATTTGCAGACTCAAACAAACTTAAAATCAAACACAGAAAAAAACCTGAATCTTCAAATGTTTCACAGGAGTACGTACAAAAGTGCACCCCTCTTAGACCACCTGGTTATATACGGTTATACAGCCACCGATCGCACTATCTGTGCTCCTGTGAAGTTGAGTCATTAATTTCTATCTGCGGCATCAGAAAAGGTCCTCACCACTCAACATGCACATGCAAGAACACACACGCATGCGCCTCAGGGAACAGACTAAAATGCGCACTCAAACAGGTGTCTCTACTGCGTATGCTTTGAGACTTGCCCATAACCCTGTACCACCACCTCCACTCCAATCCCACAGATGCCAAAATACATGACTGGGGAAAACTGCCCACGGTCTTAGTTTAGTTCCTGGGGATGGCTGGCAGACCCTGGGGTGAGGGCATCCTCTCCCCACCCCCGGGGCTGCAATCTTGGCATACAGGGCTCTGTGAGGTGCCACAGTAACAGGTGGGTTCCAGCACAGGACTTTTTTTCAACAGGTCCCCTCCACTCCCACCCAATTTTCCTCAGGGGACCCGCAGGCAGGGCCTGAGTGCCAGGGCTCCCTGACCCTGGGTCTAAGCCTCCCCCAACTCACTCTGTCCAAGTGGCATGAGGTTGCCCGCCCTGTTCTGTGGCTGCCCTGCCCGCCCTGGTGGCAACTGGCTTACCAATTGAAGACGTTCTGGACGACTTCAGGCATGGTCGAGGAGAGCTCGATGTAGAATTCCGGGAGGGAAGTGGTGTTGTTGCCCTCTGAGAGCCATGTCCTGATGAGTAGCAGGAGCACAGCAGCTCGCAGCATCCCTCTGATGCCCATGGTCGCAGCGCTCTGGGGGACCGAGAGCGCTTAAGAGGGCCCACTGCCACTGGGACAGGGATGGGGTGGGGACAGTGCAGGGCGGAAGGGTGCTCGAGGATCTCTAGGAGACAGTAACTAATGCAAGGAAAGCAGATAGGGCGAGAGGAGCAGCCCCCGCAGCTCTGCGGCACGCATCACCTCTTGGATGCTCCTGGCAGCTGTGATGGTGCGCTCCTGCAGCCGCTTCAGGCTGTGACTGGGCACCCAGCTGGAAGCTCGATGGCTCCACCCACTCCTACCAGGGCAGCACCCGCTGAACCAATCCTGCACATACCAGTTGCCGCACAAAAAGGTGGGAGCTCTTGTCTCCACCTAGAATCTGCGCGCTACTGGGTATCCTCCCCCGCCCCCCCCCCCCGTACTCCCCTCCCTCTTTCAGGCCTCTGCAGAGGTTCCCAAGCTAGCCTGAGACAGGGGCAGGGCCGGGCTGGGCGGGGAAGGGGGAGGGGAGCCACCTGCTAGAGGGCTAGGAGCTGATCTGTTGCTAGGGAGATTGGCTTGGTCCTGTTTTTCCTCTTTGCAAAATGTAAAATGTGCGTTTCTCCTGGAAAAGCATGTGCTCAAGAGGGTGTGTGTGTGTGTGTGTGTGTGTATGTGTGTGTGTGTGTGTGTGTGTGTATGTTGAAGGGGGTGAGGTGCTTTGACTACTCTGGCTGAATCTGTGTTCTGAAAGAGCTGGACACATTAGGGGATCAGGAGATATCTGACTGCTTCTCATTACCAAACCCCTGGCTCTCCAGTAACCCCACGTGCCTTGCCTCTGGGTGGAGTGGACAGTGATCACGAATGGGTTTTATGGCACCTCTGTGGCCATAGCAGGAGTGCCTCTTCATAAGTATGGAAATTGGGCTCCAGGAGACTGAGAGTTTCTTGAAGGCTTTAGTTTCCCAGAGTATCCTTGACTCCAAGTTTGGGTCCCTGGGACAAAACTTAGGGAATTGGAAGGGTTTACCAACTAGGATCATCCTGAGTTGTGACTCTGTCCCCTAGCCAGGGCATGCAGAGTTGAAGTGAGGATCTAAGGCTGACACCATTGAAGGGGAAAGAAGGCAAAGGCAAGTGTTTCAGATGTTCAAGGGAATTAGCCCCTGGAGAGCAGGCCATGCCAATGCTCCTAAATTCTGGCCCTATTATGTGAAAAAGCCTGGAAATTTGACTAGAGGGCTCTTATTCTTTTCACTACCTTGAATATTGTCCTATGAAACAGAAGGATCTCAAAGAATGAGGAAAATTCTCCACCCAACCCCTTCTGTCCTTCCCATCTCAAATCCAGGACAAAGAAAGTTCAAAAAGAGGTTCTCCTCACAGTCCATGGGCCAGAAGGACAATCAAGAAATAGACCTCAGTCATGCTCACCAGTGTTGAACCTCCTAGGGCATGCCATTGGGAAGGATTGCAATGAACATAAATTTCAAATCCACTCTTGTTTAATTAGAACATTCACACAGAAATACAGCCCTCTTCCCCTTTCTCTCAGCATTTGAAGAAGTGAATTGGGATTATTTGTGCCCAGCAGAGCTTCAGTTGCATGGTTGGCTGAGGTTTCCCCAAAGTAAGGGTTTAACTTTTTATTCCTGCTTTCTTAACCATTTTTAGAATCGAACTTTAAAAGTCTTACAGTTCTCTGCCTTCTTTTCACGAACAGACCACCCTCATATCTTCCCTCACTTTCCTCTGCTATTGGAGCAAATGTTCTCCTTCCCATGGGTGCAGAAATAAAAAAGGATGGTGGGACCTATATGTCACTGTCACATACAGGAGTGGATCAATCGAACCTACTCCCACTGCTATTAGTTCTGTCCCCATTGTCCCCGGTCACACAGGCATTATTGTAGAGAGAATCTTACACCATTCTAGGTCGTTTTGTCCAAATACTTGGATTGTAATATGAGGAAACTGAGGCCCATATAAGAAAAAGGGATTAAGCACATACAAAATGCACACATAACCATTGAGGCCCAAATTAGAATCCTGTTTCCAGGTTTGCCTATTTCCAGAAGGTTATGTTTTGTGTAACTGAGCTTTGACTGGAAGTTCAGGCAACCGCCAGCAGGTGGGAGTAGATTTATTTAGATGTGTGATGTTCCCAGCAACCTGGAATTAAATTCCACAGGCAGTGGGTCCCTCATTTGAAGCTTGAAGTTATAATTTTTGGGTGACCTTGTGACTATGGAGAGTGTCAAAAGGTTGATGATGATGATGAATTCACTTCCAGACCTTACAACCCAGAGGCTGAAAAAGAGGATGAAAAGCAATTAAAAAAATACCAAAATGTACTTGTTGAACTTTTGTCTATTAGAAGATCTATAAACATACAAATTGAATGGACTCAAGCCTGAATATGGGATCATGTTATAGGAGAAAGAACATTGACCTGAAGTTAGTCCATTTGTGTTCTGAACCCAGGTCCTACCACATGACAGTGAATGTTCCAGTTTGGTTGGAGTGTAGGGTAAATTTAGAGTTAGACAAGAGTAAGAGGTAAGAGATTAGGCAGAACCTAGCCTAGTGAGCACCACATACATAATGCTCAATAAATAAATAAAGCAAGAAAGATAGTTTTGTACTTACTTGTCCAAACTAAGGAATTTGATTCTTAATTTAGAGTCACCATAAGCTTTTGAAGTGTTTGTGCAGGTTGTGCAGGGAATGACTTAATCAGAGTGGTGCCTTGGAATAATCCCTGGTTACTTTGGAAAGGAGGAATCGGAAGTGAGATTGAGGACAATGAGAGCAGTTAGGAGGGTATCTTATACCTCTGCTTCTGGTAATGGCAGCCTAGGTGATTTGGACTAAGTGTCCCAGGGAGTTCAGGTAAATAAACTGGATGAAATATAAGAAGAAGTTATCTTCATAAAAAGCTAAAACTAATGAGGCTAATACTATAGATTCAACGAAATCCATATAAAAATTCCAAAGGCGTTTTTTTGAACTAGAACAAATAATCCTAAAATTCATACAGAACCACAAAAGGCCACCCCACCAAATAGCCAAAGCAATCCTTAGAAAGAAGGACAAAGCTGGAGGTATCACAATTCGGATTTTATACTTTTTAATAAAGTTATAATGAAATAGTACAGTACTGGCATAAAAAGAGACACATAGACACATGGAACAGAATTTAGAGCCTAGAATAAAGTCCAAGCATATACAGTCAACTAATATTTGAGAAGGGAGCCAAGAAGACTCAGTGGGGAAAGGATCATTTCTTCAATAAATGGCGTTGGGACCCTGGCCAGTGTGGCTTGGTTGGTTGGAACATCGCCCCATACACCAAGAGGTGGCAAGTTCAGTCCCTGATTGGGTCATGTGTGGGAAGCAGCCAATTGATGTTACACTCTCACATCTCTCTCTCTCTCTCGCTCTCGCTCTCTCGTCACTCTCGCTCTCACTCTCTCCCTTCCTCTCAGAAATCAACATACTTTTAATAAATAAATAAATAAATAAAACATGGATATTGATAATTACACCTACCTTATAATATTGTTGTTGTGGTTAAATGAGATTTTTCATGTAAAGCAAAGAGGATAGCACAATGCATAGCTCATAGTAAGTTTTCAAAAACCATAATATTAATACAACTACTGAAAGAAAGAAAGAAAGAAAGAAAGAAAGAAAGAAAGGAAGGAAGGAAGGAAGGAAGGAAGGAAGGAAGGAAGGAAGGAAGGAAGGAAGAAAGAAAGAAAGAAAACTTAAAAACTAAAGTAAATGGTGTTGGGAAAACTGGATAGCCACATGAAGAAAATGAAATTGGACCCCATCATAGAATACATAGGGAAAAAGCTTCTTGACATTAGTCTTGGCGATTATTTTTTATATGACACCAAAATTATAAGCAACAAAATAAAAAATAAAAAATGGGGCTACATCAAACTAAAAAGCTTCTGCACAGCAAAAGAAACAATCAGAAAAATGAAAAGGCAACCACAGAATGGGAGAAAATATCTGCAAACCACACATCTCATAAGGGGTTAAGATCTAAAATATATAAGGACCCCATACAATTCAATAGCGAAAACACCAATAATCTGATTTTAAAACTAGGCAGAGGCACTGAATAGATATTTTGCCAAAGAAGACATACAAATGGACAACTGGTACATGAAAAGGTGGTCCACATCACTAATCATTAGGAAAATGCTAATTAGAACCGTGAGCTATCACCTCATACCTGTTAGAATGGCTATAATAAAAAATACAAGAGACAACAAATGCTGGTGAGGCTGTGGAAAAAAGGGAACCGTTGTATATTTGCTGGTAGTGAACGTTGGTACAGTCACTATTGAGAACAGTATGTAGGTTCCTCAAAATGTTAAAAACAGAACTACTATATGATCCAGAAATTCGATTCTTGGGTATATATGTGAAGGAAATAAAATCAGGATCTCAAAGATATATCTGTACTTCCATGTTAATTGCAGCATAATTTACAAAGTCAAGACATAGAAACAACCTAAGTATTTTTATCAATGAATGAATGCATAAAGATGACATTATATACAAGGTGGGACAAAAGGAGGTTTACAGTTTGTGTGTATGCAAAACAAAATTTATTCTTGTATTACTCAAATGGCAAACAACCAGTTGCTATGATGTGCACTGACCACCAGGGGTCAGACGCTCAATGCAGGAGCTGCACCCTGGTGGTCAGCACTAAGGAGGAGCAAGCCCGGCTTCTGGTTGGTCTCCCCTCCCTGACAGTGCTAAGGACTCCCTGGGGGCTGTCTGACTGCCGGCAAGCGGACATCCTCAGAGGGGTCCTGGACTGTGAGCGGGCGCAGGCCAGGTTGAAGAGACTCCCCACCCCCAAGTGCATGATTGTCATGCACCGGGCCTCATATATATATATGAATATTATTTGGCTATAAAAAAATAAGAAAACCCTGCTATTTGCAACAACACTTATGGATCTTGAGAGCATTCTGCTAAATGCAATAGGTCAGACAGAGAAAGACATATATTGCATGTTCTTACTTACGTGTGGGATCTAAAAAAAGCTGAACTCAAAGAAATAGAGAATAGAATAGTGGTTGCCAGGGGCTGGGGGCGGGGCATATGGGAAATGGAGAGATGTTAGTCAAAGGGTACAAACTTTCAACTGTAAGATGAATAACTTCTGGGAATCTAATGTATAGCATGATGACTAAAATAAATAAATTATTATATAGTTGGAAGTTGTTAAGAGAGTAGATAGTCTTAAAAGTTATCTCCACACACACA